ATACAGTATTATACAATAATACTATTCCAGCTTACCAACAAATTCGATTTAAGGACAAAATCGAATGGGAACAGAACGCGTTCTTAAACTGGGGACTACCTGTAGTTTGTTTTATATCAGTGGGGTCTTGGTTACTCAGAGCATATGTCCTTGTGAATAACTGGCTAATTCTATACAAAAAACGTAATCTGCATTTTTTTTCTTTTTCTTTTTCTTGATATGATACAACAACATTATCCAAGATTTTGTTAAAATTGTATGATATATGTGTGTGCATTTGTCTTTGGGCATATATACTTCAATGTGCATTTTAATGTATGTTTGGCAAAATTATGTTATGTGTGTATGTGTGCACGTGTGCATTTTCAAGTCAGACTTGAAGTTTTCTTGGAAACATTTTCAGAAGAGGATTGCCACTGCCTTGTGGCCCAAAGTCACCCACCTACTTACATGCCTAAAGCAGGGCTAGAGTTCACAGTCTCAGCCTGGTGCCTTAACCACCACACCAAACCAGACCTCTCAAAAAATATTATTTCACAATATTCATTCTAAATGTATGGGGGAGGGATATTACTTGAGATATATACATTGATAAATATAGTATATTTATAAGTTAATAAATCTTGTATTTAGAACATATTGCCCACATAAGCAGTGAAACAGGATAACAGGGAAGGACATCATATTCCTCTAAGCAACTGCAGGAATCTTGGGGGGGGGGGTAATAATTGGAAGGGAGCGAATAAGGCCATATCTGGGCTGCCAATTCATTGCAGGCTTTCATCAGACACACACACACACACGCACACACACACACACACACAAAATATTCAAGCCTCTCCCAACATGGATACAGATTGCAAAAGGCTGCACTTTTTCCTTCTCTCAGAAAATTACTCCAGCTTCAAGGTAATAATAAGCCTAGATGATGGGGTTGTATGGCTTGTGCATACGGCTGAACAATGACAGCAAGTTATCTGCACATACTGAGCCAGGCCTGGGCAAGGCTTTGGTTAGCCTTGCCTTCTCTTTCAGGCATCAAGGCTCATGCAAAGGGTCCTGTGCGATGGCACAGGGATGATTGAGTACCTGAGCATGCTAAGATAAGGCTCAGTTCTTAGAGGAGCAAGAAGAGGACAGTATTTGTATTGCTTTTTGAATTTTGACTTCAGCACTCTGGACGACAAGAGGTTAGGACATCTCTAGTATAAAAGCAGGTGGGCCTGGAAAGGGACTCACCTAAGGATCCTCTGTAATTTGCTTTGGGGTCTTTGGAATGAAGGAGCTGTCTCCGAGCTCCTGCGAACTGAACTTCTCCACTCCACTCGCCCACGGGTCCTTAGCGTGAGTCGCTGCAGCTCTTCCTCGAGTCTCGACGTGAGAATCCAGTGAGGACGGCACAGAGGGCATGCACCAAGGGTAGGCGAAGGCACGCAGCGGGCGAGGCGAACGAAGTATCAGCTCTGGGAAGCAGGGCGCCCGCGTTAAAGGCTGTACCTAGCCCGAACTCCGCGAGCTCCAAACGCGCACCCCGCCCAGATTTGCCCGGGAGTCTTCCCTCCCCCACCGCCTAAAGGCGGCCCGGGGGTCGCGCGGGTTGGGAAAACCGCCGCCGAGCCCTGCGCGCCCGCCCAGCTGCCCCAATTCTGCGTACTCAAGCTGACCGGCCCCGCAGCCCGATCTGGCTGCCCCGGGATCCTCTCCTCCTGCTTCGCTCCTCTTGGCTCCCAGCCTTACCTGTCCGCGCCCCCGCTGTCCAGGCGCCTTCTCCAGAGTTTCTGTGCCCTAAGGTGGCTGCCAGCCCCGGCGCGCTCCTCAGGGAGCGCCCTGTCGCTCCGCTGCGCCTGCTAGAGGGGCCTGCGGGAAGTGCTCGCCATCCGCGGAGCGGAGGCTTTGACTTAAATAGGCATCGAGCAGCCGCCACCAGCAACTCGCGGGCGGCGCCAGCTCCCTCCCAACGCCTGCAGCCCTCCGAAACAAACGGCGTGCGAGAGCGCGCAGGCGCTTCTTTGGTGCACACAGCTCTTCCCGTCGCACCCGCGTAAAAGTTCGGCTGCTGGACGGTGGGGCTCGGCTGTCCGTAGGGGTGGGTGGGGGACGCGGTCGAAAACAGCGCTTGGTGCTCGCCAGCCTCCGCTGAAGCTACTCTGAAAATCGCGACAGCAGGATTAAGCGCCTGAGGAGCAGCGTTAGGGCTCTGCGAACTTTCTTCCGAATTATTGGAAGAAACGCTTCTGGGAATGTTGAGAGCACCACGGCACCCCTCCGCTGCTCATTGAAGCAGCCGGCCCAAAACTAAGGGCCTACAGCTTAGGGCTTCACCGTCTGAAGGAGCTTCTCCAATTTTCAGGGTTTTTTTATTTGTTACAGGTTTATTGCGATTTGATACATGAGAGTCTCTTAAATTGAGCCCTCACATGACCCTCATTAATTGAGGTTTGATTTGCTTCTACAAGCATTCTCGAATTTTGTTCAAAGAGGGCTCTTCCTCACTCCATCATGGGTTTGTAATGCGTCTTGGTGGTATTCTTGCCAAGTTCAGTTGTAGCAGTCTGATATTCTATTAACACTTCCCAAATAGAGCCTCTACAGCTTCCCCTGCCTTAGGGCCTCGCCAAGTCTAAATCCAGCCCTGCTTGCACGGGCTTCTGCAAGAAAAAAATGCAACTGCTGTAAAGTGTCATTCATTTAATGAACCAGTCTTGGAAATCAGCTGCATCTTTTGGGCAGGTTGGCTGGGAAGTCTGAGAAAAGATTGGCTGCTGCTTTCATGAACAATAGAGTCTCGCTGTGCTCCCGCAGGTCTGAAGCACTTCTTCCCAATTAGAGCAAATGCACAGTCCTAGTAACAGGATCTTTCTTCTTCCCATGTGTAGGCAAATGCACACGCACACATACATCTGGGATTGAACACCAGAGGGAATCCATACCAGGTAGGCCTGGGCACTCCACTTCAGATAAATGAATGAATTAAATTAACATGTTTACCCAGAACCAGGATATTCTGATCTAAAGACTAAAAATGCAAGAGGAGGATTTGGTTAAGAAAAGGGATGATGTAGCAGTAAAAGATGAAAAAGCAAGTCTGACCCAAGGCCTTTAGGTGTCTAAGGTGAACAGATAAAAATACTCTCCTTCACTCCATACCTAGGGGTGCAAAGATCAGATGATTGCTAGTTTTCGGTATCTCTTTACTCCTACCTAGCCATCATCCAAATAGTTGCAGCCCAGGTCTGGTAGCCCTCTCATACACAAAGCCAAAAGGTAAGCTATTTTGGCATGAGAGATAAAATAAATCATTAAAAATGATTGCCCTTTCATGACTTCACAGATCTGCTGGCTGAGAAAGCTGCCTCACTTTACCCAATGTTAGGCCTCACTAGTGCAGTAGGATTGAATTCTCCTTAAAGGCCCAATTAATGCTCTCCAAAAGGTCCTTGCCACTTACTTACTAGGTTCTTATATCTCACTTAGCCATGCTTTGCTTAATGATGTTCAGCATTAAATGTTATGATGTGAATATGTGCAAGATGCTAAACCATACATTTTGGTTTATAGAACAATGGCTTGGTACAGACCAATACTGAGCCATAAATCAAACCAACCGCAGTTGACTTAACACTACTGATGACCAAATTTCACATCTCTTACAAACAGAAGATACATCTTCTAACCCCTTTTTCTGAACCCTTTTCTAACACAGACTCCAGAGTTACCTCATATACAAGAAAATACAGGTAGTGTAATGCAAGGGGGAATATGAAGAGGTACTGTAACTGCATCACTCATTGCATACAGTTCATTTATCTTTTGAAAACATGGTATTTCATATAATTTCCTGCAGCCTCAGCCTCCAGAAGATTGGGGGGCAGCCTTTTTCTCAATTTAGCCTACTTCAAGGAATTGTTGTTAACTGAAAATGGTGGAACCCATAACCATACATTTATTGAAAGAATGTGGAATGTTTAGAATCCATATAATCAAGTTCCAAAGCTCTCTTATTTACAGTATATGTATGTAGGTTACCCAAACAAATTTAAACTATTTTTGTTCTTGTTCGTGCTTCACAATTGAGCCATATGGAGAGGATTGTCATGAAGATTTATGTGACAGAGCCTGAAGTCTCCATGCTTTTAATGCACAAAATTATTATTTTCTGAAAGCATAAGTTAAGAGGTTTTAGTGCATCCTACAAACAATAAATATTAATTTGGGTCTGTTAATTTACCTCCAACTTAAAATTCCTGTTTATCTACTTCACAGTTTAAACAAGAATAGTTATCACTTGTCACAGTCCTGGGAACAATGGACACAATCCATTGGCTGTCATCTCCGATGATGTGAGAAATAAGTTGTTCTACTGTATTTCCTGCTCCTGACAGGCCACTGGTAAGGTTGTATATTAAATTCATTTATCATTTTCAATTTCCCTTCTTCAGTGTGAAAGCTAGCAAAGCTGTTTCATAATTATTCTAGAGAAATTACAAATCTTTTTCAGATTCCCATCTTAAATTCATTTGCAGAACACATCTGCCACCTTTCCAAATTCTCTTCAGCTTAAGAAAATTCTCTTCCTGCTGGAAAAAACTACTACATGGAGTGGAAGTATGTGTACCATAGAGCTCAAATCACACATAAATAGATCAGATTTCCCCAAAAGAAGGAAAACTACCAACAGAAAAGAATAAAAGTAGTTCAGGGTTGAACTGTGGAGTCCTTGGTGCTCTCTGAGCTTGGTTGTTTGCTTGCAGACATTGCATTACCCGACTAGGTAACATCATCAGTACTAGTGAGTGTGGGGTTTGCTCCTTGTTTATATACAGTAGCTTGCCCTGCCACAGGTGTGGTTTTCTCCTTG